ACCCCAAAAAAAGAGCCAGGATCCACAGCCCAGCTTGCACTGGGCACCCGGCTGCATGGCCATCAGAGTCACAAAAATCTCTCGGTAAACAGTGACCTGCTGGGGATGGAAACCCTGTGTAAGGCCCAGTGTCTGCCACCCGCGTCACACCAGTGCCCATCACGGAGGGTGCAGCTTTGCTGAGTGTCCTCTGGACCTGGAGGCGCATTCAGAGCTTGTGGTCAGGGCTGTTGACACCTGTCCCCCCTCCAAAACCAAGCATCGAGAGGTCCCCTGGAAGGTGAGTTGGTTGCATTTGTTGCTGAGCCTGAGATGTGTGATTTCAGGAGCGCATCTCGGGGGTTCCCACATGTTCCCTACTGGGTGTGAAGCCCGGGGTTAGTAGTAGACCTGCAGGGAAGCATCCAGGAGTAAGTGATGCTTCTCGATTATCAAAGTGCTGGGCTGAAGGCAGGATGATGTCCACGCTCTGCTGCTTCCTGGGGTGAATTTCTCGGGTGTTTCAGCAGCTGAATCTGTTCACATAAATAAACTCGTGGAAGGTGAAGCAGAGACAAGTCCTTGATTCCCTCACCCATCCTGCTGAGCACCTGATGCACCAAATCACAGCTTCTGTCTTGGCTCTGGTTAGTTTTAAACAGCAGTAAGAAATACTTTGAGCATCTGAATTTCAGAAAAATGTCTTTAAAACCTGTTTGAGGTTACTGCTCCAAATCAAGCAAAGAGGAGCATTTACACCTAGAGGGAAAGGACAAGAAACCTTTCTTAGAGAGACCTTTGCAGAGAAAAGACAAAACTTTAAATTCCTCTGGGGTGCTAGCTGCAAATCCCAGAGAAGCACCAGGACCCTGAGCCCTCCAGGGACAGGAGTTAAACCACCCTGTACTTCTGCCTTGTTTTTCCTAATAAATGGGGGCCAGGCCACCCAGGGAAGGTGAGGAACTGGGCAGTGCTTCAGCCTGGCTTTAGTCCTACCGGTCCTCCCCTCAGAGTGCTCACCACTGGCATCCCAGCCAGGTGTGCAGGACTTTTTGGGAAAGTGGGGCTGGGAGCCCAGCGAGGCTGGGCTGGTCCTGAGGAGCCCACAGAAACCTTCTCTGCTTGTTGCACTGATCCAGGCTGCGGCCACTCCACATCAGTGGCTGAAGAAATTGCCAGAAAAGTGAAGGGTTTTTTCCTTCTTTAGCTCTTTTAAACACTGTGCTCTGACTCCCTGTGGTGCCAGCCCAGGCCGGGTTTGATCAGCTGCACCTGTGGCCTGGGTAGGTGGAAGATTTAATTCAGCAGCCGCAGATCCAGAACAGCCAAGTGCTGCAGGCAGCGAAAGACCTGAGACCCTGCACCCCTCATTTTCTCACCCTCTTCTATGGATGCTCTTGAACCTTTTCCCGATTCAGGTTTTGCATGAGTTTCCATCAGGGACAAGATTTGTGAGAGCAAATTCACAGCTTCTGCCCCACCAAATGAGATCTTGCATTTACTGATAGTTTAATGGACAGGTGGGGTAAGTGTTACCCTCTCCTGTCCCATCAAAAAAAGAAAAAAAAAAGAAAAAAACAAACAAAACCCAAGCAAACAAAAAAAAAACCCAAACCCCAAATCCCTGTAAATAATGTGCAAAGTGTAACCAAATAATTTCCAGTCCCTTATGGCCATTCCTTCCCAAAAGCTTTTGCCACAAAACCCCCCCTGAACACCTTGTTCTAGACCCTGCTGCTTAATGCAAGCAGTAGCTTTGCTGCAAGACTGGTGACAGCATTCAGTGCTGGGGGTGGCTGCCAGAGTGCAGCCTTTCTGCACAGGCACTGTCTCCTACAAGCAGGATAGCTTAAAAAAACCTGGCATTTTACAAAACCCAGGTCATTTCCAAATGAGGCACATGGTGTCAATGAAGCCACTCGGCAGACCCTCATCCTCAGTACTTGTGAGGGAATTAAAAAAAGGGACTTTAAAGCAGTAAAAAATATCTCAATAAAATGCAGCAGGTAATAAATAGGTGGTAAGGGTTTGGCCAGCCAGTTCCTGAAGTCAGGTAAGTGAGCGTCAACATTTAGAGACCCTTCGCCCCATACTTCACCTTTTTTTTTTTCCCAAAACCAGTGTGTTAAAATAAAGATTTATTACTGCTTATCCCATGGCTGAAGATGAGCCCAATTCATCGTTCCTGTGGAGAGCTGGCAGGCTCTTTCCCGTACCGGACGTGGGGGTGCTCTGCCCCATCTTGGCCACAGACGCCTCAAGCTGACATCAAAATTGGGGGGTGGTGGTGTGGACTAAGGGGAAATACTGAGCACGATGGACAGTGTCTGCTAGGAGGGGAGAGGTCTGCAGAGAGACCTGCAGAGGTCTCCTCTCTGTTTAAGGGCATTAATATTATTTTTAGAGGGAAATTGTAAGATTGACAGGGATGGTGATGATTAGCCTAAACACGAGTATTACTCTATACACTAAGAAAAACCCACTGAGAATAATGGTTTACATAGCTTTTTGGTTGCAACTGATGAGTTTCCAGACATACACACACACACACACACACACACACACACATCTGGTCACCTCATCTGAGGAGGAAATAAACTGAGTATGAGGGGATAGCTGCTGAGTTTTTTTTTGCAGCAGGAGACCTGAAGCAGGCTCCAACTCCGAGCCGCACATCAGCATCTGCTTTTCTGGAAGCCAAAAAAACCCCATCCCAAAAAGCACCGAGCCCATCGACCTGAGGTTGTCGTTTTGTCGTTGCTTTCCTTGCTGCTTCATGGGCTGGCTGCAGCCTTTTCACTGAACCGCTGCATTTACTGAGAGCAGCACCCTGCAGTCGGGGTCAGGGACAGCAGCCCAGATTTATGGCTCCTGGAGGTTATTTTCAGGCTCCTTCAGCTGCACAGGGAGAGCCCTGTCAGGGCAATTCTCCTTGTGTCACATAGGATGCATTTCTGCACATGAAAACGCAGCAGCTTTGTGCCTTGCTCCTCAGCTTGACAAACACATCGCTAGTAGGACTGGTGTACCTGAGGCTTCCAAGTACAGCACTTATTTTAGGGCCAAAACTGACCTTTTAACTATTTTAAGTGTCACAGACACCTTCTAAGCTCTTTTGCACTGTTACGGCTACTTTCACCCATCTCAAAAGCTTTCTCCCCTGGCCTGTGGACCTTTTGCTGTGAACTAAAGGGAGAGGAGGGCAGGGGCAGGGTCCACCCCAGTCCCCATCCCCTGGAAGGGCCGGGCTGTGCTCCTGCCCCTTCCCAAAGGCCAAAGCAGCCTTGGCTGGGGCTGGGAGGTACCACAAGTCCTACGAGAAAAGCCTCGTTAAAGTATAAACCTAAACTTTGTCCTCTGCAGAGCAGGGCAAAGTACCCAGTAAGTATCTGAGGTATGTGCCAAAAGTGCAATTAAACACCTCGTACGACTGGCCACTCGATTCCCAAATGTCCCCTTGCCTTTTCATGTGGCTTTTTATTGTGCTTTAACTTTCTTCTGTTTGTAGAGTAGCAACGTGAAAGCCGAGTGCCTCACCTAAACCAAACTTGAGTCACAGCGCTGCCGTCTCTATTGATACCAGACATTTAAAACACAAAATGCACCAGGACACCTTACAAAGTGTCCATTAATTATCATCTCCACAAATGGGTAAATGCAGATGTTTTCTGTGATTAAAATCACTGAAGTAACTAAAGTAACTTCTGAAATGAGGTATATATGTGAACGTTTATTTTTATTTTTAAATGATGTTTCCTCTACAAAAAATACAGCCAAACAATATTTTAGTTCATAAAATCTGATAAAAAGATTCTGAATTTCTTGACTTGTAATGCTACTGATACAATTGAGCGTATTTATGAAAGAGGAGTGTTACAAACAGTAACTGCTGCTGCAAAGTATTTGAAACAAGGAAGATCCCTTCCTCTTTATTCAGCCTCTGTCAAATCTTCCCCATCCCGAGGTTTTCATGGGGCTGCACCCAGGAGGCAGAGTCCACTTCTCTCCTGCTGAAAGGTTCATTTGAGACTAGTGCCAGTGCCAGCCATGGCCCTCAGCGAGATGGGGGCTGCCCCATCACCACAGAGGGAAAGTTTGCAGGCAGGGAAAGGGCAAAGACTCCTTTTTATTACACCTTTTATGATAATTATTAAAAGCCTCAGTGAAAACTATCTCCTACAATTACCGTGGGTAATAAACAACCATAATATTGCAGAGACCTCTCTCTCCCCCTTGCCCTCTGTGCTGTGCCTGCCACCAAGGCAACCCGAAAAGCAGCTGCCAGAGAAGAAGAGCCATATCTGGCACCACCACCTTCCTGTGCAGGAGGCCTTCAGTGCTCTGCTGGGGCGGCAGCAGCTGCTTCTGGCTTTGGCCAAACAAACAATTTGGAATTAACACAACACGAGGAGTGGAGACTGCTAAAGGACAGAGATAAGAGAGTATAACCTCTAGAAGTTAAAACCCAATCTGCTGGAAGACGCTGGCACGGTCTCCTCATTGCTTTCTCCTTGTCCACTGAGGAAATATCCATCCAGACACTTCAGGTGTTCTCTAGCGCTAAAAAGCCATTTTCTGTGTGATTTTACCATGTGCTTCACTGTTCCTATCGATATGAAAATCTTCTAGTTTTAATTACAGATAACACATTTCTGCAGAGCAGTTTCAGTTGGTTGTCATCAAGGTCTCTGTAAAAGACAAAAGCACAGACTTGCACTGCAAGTGCACTGATCTCAGTGCCTTTCAGTGTCTTTAAGCTCTGCAGCCTCTCCAGTTCTCTCTATGTTGATTTTACCACAAAAGACACCAAAGCTGCTTTGTTGCAGAACCATATTTTAAAAAATCAGCCATTGTTTGAATACAGCTTTAATACAAAAAAAATTTATTTTCCATATTAGCCAAGTTAACCGATGATGATAAAAGTGGTTAAGAAAGTTTATTTCCTTTTTGGCCTTAAAATTCTGATCTGGTTGCAGCTGTGTGTTAGGGGATGCTTCTCCTGGGTTTTACAGGGCAGTCCCTCACATCCAGGGTTCCCATCCCTTCCAGACTCTGCCCAGGATGTTGGGGTCTGTTGCTTGGTCAATCAGACACCTCACTTGGGTCTCTTCCGAAAGTCCAGCCTCCGGCTCTTTGGCTCTGATGTTGTGATCAGCGTTGCCATGAGCCACAGCCACAAAATCTTGGTAAGAAGGGGACTTCTCTCGGCCCAGGCGTAGTTCATCACTAAAATTGAGAGCACAAAAATGAGAAACAAACAAAAAATCTGAGATGGATTTTTAAATACGAAACAGTACTTGAACACCATCCATGCAGCTTTATTTTTAAAGATGCGGAAACTGTTGGCCAGCAAAGACGGACGATTTCAGGTCTCCTTTACTAGGGAGTATTTACCATGAATATTTCAATCTCATCAGAGGTCTCCAACTGAAAGAAGGATGCAGAGTTCACATCCAAGCTGTTTTATCTCCTTACCTGCCCTGCTGATTTGTGTCCGCCAGAAGTATTTTGCTGCCTTTTCCAGTTCAGCCTTGACCACAAAAGGGACTCCTCCCAAGCCCTGCACTCTTCAGTATTTGTATGGTTTTAGAACAGGCTTGATTTTTTTTTTTCTGCTTGATTAATTCAAAATGTATTTTTAAAAGAGGATGGAAGGGATTAATTGTACTTTAACTGAACTTTAAAGACATTCTCGCTTGAGCCAGACTTGACTAGACCGACATAAATAACCTGAGAATGCCACCAGATTTGAATTTGATGTCTTTGGGAAGCAGCTTACCTCCGTGCCTCCCCTACTGCTGGGTCAGGTCCCATTTCAAGCAACTGCCATCGATTTAATAAATACTACCCCCAGCCTAAAAGCTGTGGAGGCAAACATAAAGGGCAGCAGTCTGAGGAGTTAAGCAGGCTCACAGGGTGGGGATGTGCAGTAAAACTGCTGAGAAGGCCCAAGCTGGAGCAGGAACGCTCACGGGGAGGTATCTGGTGTTTTGTCTGGCAGGGTGATTCAGAGAGCTCGAGTGTGGATCAGAACGATTCTGACAGGAGGTTTGCTGAAATTCTGCCCTGTCTGCTTCTTCTCTTTTCCCAGCTGCCATTCTGTCTGAAGGGAGCAATCTCTGACATGGGGGGCTGCCAGAACTCTCAGTGGAGCAGTTTAAAGCAGAAGGAGAGCTTCTCACCATGTGATTGCTGCTGGATTGGCTCCTGTCAGCTTTCTTCTGACATAGCTGACTTTCTGCAAAGGGTACCAGTTTACTTCAGATGTGTCTATTTCCTTAATCCACGTGCCTCCGCTTCTCAGCTGTCTTTGTTCAAAGTTCTAAAGAGAAAACAAGTTCACCCTATTTAGCATAAAACATACACTGAAAAAGACCTTTAAGCCACCAAATCATAGCAAGTCAAGCCAGTAACTCTGAACTCCCACTCAGATGCAATGGAGGACAAAGTAGTGAGATGGTATCTAGCCTGTCTATGACTTAAAATTCAATTTACAACTGGAGTTACTCAAGTGCAGCTATTTTCAGATTTTTTTTGGTGATTAGTTTGATATATACAGTGTCATTATGTAAATTTAAGATTGTAAATTTAAGCAAAAAGTTGAAAATATTTATGCTGCTGCCATAAGTGATGTAATGCGATCACGAGATGCCCACATTTTTAGGATTATCATGCAGATAAAGAACAGTGCACTGATAACACAAACAAGTGCTACTATTCTTTGTCCATCAATATAGAATTCCACCATTTTAAATCCTTTAAGATCAGTTTCTCTGAGAACTCAAGTAACCAAAGAAAAATAAAAGGAGCACTGAAAATCAGGAAATGCTTCTGTTTCGATCAGTTTTATCCTTAGTACAAGTTTAAGAATTTTCACATGAAGAAAAAGGAAAGAGGAAAAATCCCACCTTCCAGTCCAAAGAAGGCTCTTTTACAAATACATCCATTGTGCTGAGGAGGAGGTCCGGGTCCCCACGATAAGCCCTTAGGGCATGTACCATCACGCTGTAAATGAGACCCCATTCTTTCACTGGCATCATCAGATTAACAAACTGTCGAGTCAGGCGAAAAGGCATCAACTCTGGCACCGGCAAAAACTAGTCAAGGGGAAGGACAGTAAAAAGAAAACAAGAATTAAGAAACCTAGGAACAGAAGGATTAGAAAGAAATATTTTTTTTTTCTTTTTAACCTTTGAAACCCTCTTTGCCATTTAACTGAAAATAATGTGCAACATGGTAGAATAGGACCAAGATATGATATCAAAGCTCTAATCATTAATATATGTATTAATATTATATATATTGCATGTATACATTATACACGTATATATATTAATATTATATATATTATTATATGATAGTGGTTTATTGAAAGCATGGCTGAACTATACAAAATACCACTGTGTAGACTCCAAGCAGCTCTATAGCTCCCTGTTCCTCTAGGAATGTCTGGAAACTGAGATTTTATCCCATTAACTAGAAATAAATATTATTTTGTATCAGAACGATGGCAAACGAGGAGCATCAACTTTAGTGCTGAGAATACATGTGTAATTGCACATAATAAATGCAAAAGCTGTAACAAGTCAATTAGAAAACAAATACCTGCGTAGCTGAGCCAAACGCATATCCAAAGTCTATTCCCACCATGCCACCAGTCTCCTTGTTAATCATGAAGTTGGAGAGATGCCTGTCTCCAATCCCCAGGATCCAGTGGCTGATGCACATCAGCGCATGAGAGCTGGTGAAGTGGGAGCGCAGAGACAGGAAGGCTTCGGGAGAGGTGCTCATTTTCACAAATGCTCGCCTTAACGAAACAGAAGGCACTTGTTGCGGGCAGATAAAGCACAAAACATTGGTTTCACAGTGTGCAGGCACTAACAGAGCACTTACCGCAGCAGGTCCTCTGGTACGCAGCTTTCCCTGCTTTTGAAAGACGTAACTGTTTCTGTACGGCTGGCATTTCTGCAAATTAATGAGGGAATAACGTATTGAAAGAGCAGCCCACTGGATATTAAAAGTTAAGATGTGGACGTGGCTGCATTAGAACGTTCAGCTTAACCCAGTAAACAGTACAGCAAGCCACACAGAGATTCCCCAGATTTTTTTTTCTAATATTAAAAATACTCCCTTGCCTTCTCTTTTTTTACCAAGCAGTTATTTCTGAGACTGACATTTCTTAATACAAAACAGTGTAGTTTTGCCTAGTTTCTCCCAGATGAAGCAGATGGGTTAAATTTTAATACAGCAATACAATTGTGCTCTTTCTGGCTGGATACTTTCTTCCAAGAAGCAAAACTAAGGCTCAAACAAAATCCCTCAGCAGCACACAGAGGCTGTCTTGACACCAGAAAGCAGAAAGCAGTACTAGAACGTGCAGCACAAGGGGAGGCAGCAGAACTAAGTGGCTGGTGCTGTGGACATCCATGCCGTATGCATTTGGGGAGGGAGGGTGACTGCTCTGGACTGGCGCACATCTGGTTCTGGGAACCAAATGCCTGCGAGCAGCTGGGATGTGCTGGGTGCTTCTCTTCTGGTTGATTTTTGTCTGAAAGGAACCGAGTTGTGCGCTGGGGACAACTCTGTGATGCAAGGCAACGTGAGGTGAGTGGGAATTTACATCAAAAGCACATCCCAGATCTGAATAAAAGTATTAATGTAGACGCACTCAGTTTAACAAGTTGAAGTTTTCCTTTAGAAAGCAAGAAGCTTGCTTAAGCAGATTACGAGCTCATCAGAAATGCTGTACTGGAAACGTCACTTCATCCCCTGCAGTGCACGATCTAGGCAGGTATGGAAACTCCTCTGAGAAGATGCTCAAATCGAGAACCAAACCATCAAATATTCTTAAACTCTCAGTGAATCACAGTGACTTTCCCTGTCTAACCTCAGAGCAGGCGTCCTGCCTCTGGGGCAGCCCACCTAATAGCATAACCAGGAAAAAGACACCTAGAAAATAATGTTGAAGAGGAACATCTGCTTCTAGACACTTTCTTAAGGAAGTTAGCAAGCTTCTGGAACATTCCTGTGCTCTAGTGGGATTTTGGCAGTACTAAACTCCGCTCGCAGAGAATCTTCAGTAAGACAAAGCAGTAAAATGGGCAAAAATCAGATCTAGCCAGCGTATTATAATGCAGATCATAATTTTCCTGGTATTTCTACAACTCTGTGTGCGTGCACATAGTAGTTTCTATATTATACATGCAATTATCTTTTAAAACTTACCTATACATGACATGGTATTGAGAGATGCCTGGTACTTTCCCACCCACCTTGGACAGCCACTCAGAATAGGTAGCACAAGGTCCTTTTTTGCTAGGGACAGAAAAAAAGTGATGATGATCTCCCTATTTTGCCTTACCACTCTGTACTTGAATATCTGCTATGACCCATGAGATTTTCTATGCACAGAAGGAGTCAGGAAGCTACAGCCTACATTAATTTTAGCCTTGCTATAGAAATCAAGTTTATGCAGTCACTGCATATGCTGATCCATCCATCTTCCCCCCAGCTTTGAAGGCACTTCAGTCATATTTGACAGAAGATTAGACATCTCAAAGGTGTTAATCTGTCAATAGGTACTGGGAAAATTAGACGCTGCCTTGAGAAGAAAGACTCAAAATAATTTCTCCAGGGAGGGAAAGGTATTTTTAACACAGCCTCATATCCATCTGAGAGGCATTATGCAGCCTGTCACAGTACATGTGTCTGCTTGTCCATCCAGACAGGTAGGGAATGCAGGAAGGCAATCCGTTATCTGCTCAGGGAGGAATGGGGGAGGATTTAAGATATTAATCTAGAAGAAGACCATCTTCAATAGTTGCACTGCTTACAGAATAATCTGTTATTTTTCTCCCATCTTAACTAAATACACTAGACATTAAACCTATATTCCAGAGAGGCAGCAACTTAGCAGAGCACCCTCCTCCTCTCTTCCTTTCAAGCATGTTCTGGGATATGGAGATCCTTTCCATATAAGAAGTATTTATCATTTATAGACTGCGATCCTGTCACTTTCAGATAAAGAAAAGGATTTCAAAACTTTAGAAAGTTATTCCTGCCACCTCAACCAAAATATTGCCAACAAAGATTTTGTCATAATTTTCCTTTGTGAGTGCTGTCATTCAACTATAGCTCAATTCAAAGTGTCTTAATTGACTTGATTGAAGAACATACGGGAAAGCATTTAAAGTCTATATACAACAATAAAAGAAAGCTATTTTTTTGGATAGATCATTAACTGCGTTTAGAAAGAAAATGATCTTCTACATTTAGCACATTAGAAATTTCCTCCCCTCACGGGGTGGTTCCATTGAGACCTCCTTCACTTTCCCAGTCAATGGACTGAGACCAACATAATACTGCTGCTGTTCACAAAGCTGAACCAGACAGCAGTAATGCTTGAACTGTAGCAGTTCCTAAACTGCTTACAAATCAAATAACTGTAGAAACAAAGACTCTTCGAAGTCCAACCTCTACACTGGAGGTTCCTCCACCTGCCCCATAAACAAGAGAACTAGTAAAAATAAATGGTGACAACAACGCTTTGACAAACCCAAACAGAGGTTATGTACTAAGAACAATGTTGGTAAATAAAACCACATTTCCAAATTCCAGGATAGAAACGGGTTGAAATGCTAAAAATAAATCAATTTCACAAATCTTCATCTTCCAATTACAATAAAGTTTATTCAAACTCAGCATTTGTATAAATTCAGTGTGTTCTTTTACAGTTGTGTATTGTGCACCTGCTGCCAATTCCCCTCCCCATCACTGACTTGCTGCTGAACCAGGTGCCAAATAGCCGTCCCTGCTCTGTTGCCCTCCCTTCTGCTTCCCCCCTCACTGAACTACGTCCACTTCCTGCCTGATCAAATCAAGAGATCAAAATCCTTTGGCTGTAAAATCAATTTGCTGATAAGGAAATGGTGATGATAATGACGTCACCCATGATTATAAGCCTCTTGTTTAAACAAGCTGGGTGGAGGATATTCCAGGTACAATGGTACTCATTAAACAAATAGTTGCCAATTACTAATTTGGGTCAGGAAGTACAAACTGCCTGCTTGCTTACAGGTGCTTTAATTTCATTCTTAAAAAAAAAAATAAAAGAAAATGCTGCCACAAGATTGCCAGTATCAAAAAACCCCTCAGCAGTGGTCTCAATTAGAGAAGACACAGCTAAACCAAGCATCACCTGTTGTAGCTGCTGTTTTCCTCTTCAGACATGCTATTCTTAAGGAATTCTTTTAAAGTACAAGTATTTTCCAACCACTTGATGAGTCCCAGTCTGGAACAAAAGAAGTCAGAGATGTGAACAAGCAGCTCAGAGTTGAACTTTAGAGAACACTGCAAATAGGAAGCAACACGTTCTAATGCCTGCTCAAAGAAGGTTGAAAGCTACCAATTTAAATATACTCTGAAAAACAGTTTCCAGAAAAAGCAATTTTAATGTTGTTTAAAAGTAAAGAAAAAAAAATTAAACCAAGATACCAAATCACTCTAAAGAAGAACGTGGCACACAGAAATCTCACTTTCCAACATCCCAAAAGTAACAGATTTTAACATTTCTGTCCCTTCATGATAAATGCCTACCTTGTTGTCATGGGGATGACCTGGTAAGTTTTTAACTGCATATTCCTTTGGCTACATGCAGCATCTTGGGAAAGGATAATGTTCATTACTTCAAACAGCTGCTCAATACGTTGGTCTTGTCGCAGGTCCTCCCCACCTTTGACAAGAAAAGGGTACTCCTGCTCATCGCTGCCTCGGATTGTTATGCGTTTTGGCTTCCTCAGCGAATCCATTACTCTTATCTTGGAAAAAAGACAGGAAAAAGCAAAATATTCGTGACAGAAGATTTGGCCCTACATTTAATTTCAGTGAGAATTCTGTATCTGTCATTCCTAGATGGCAAAAACACTACAAAAACAAATGCCTATTTGCTCATTTATGTGCTGCAAGATGTGTACAACACATCAACCTTGCTAGTGTCAAATTATTCAAATCGGATATGGACACAAATTTATACCTCACAGGATTTTGACTCAAACTTATAAACATACCTGTTCATCAAATCCAGCTATTTTTGCATGGTACTCTGGCAGTGGTTTCCCTTTTCCATCATACTGACCTGAAGTGGAAGTGGTAAAAAAATAAAAAGTTACACAAACTGATTTTATTTTTTTTAAGTGTGTTTAAGAACAGAACACATTTCCAAATACTGTCAAATTGGTAGAATGATAACTATGAAGAAAATATTTTAAAATGCACTAAAATCTATAATACACATCATATCATTTTATCTGAATTACTAATATTTTTTCCCTTTTAAGCTGTTAGAATTGCAGCTCTTAATGGTTTCAGAGGACACATCCTTTTTGAACTAGATTCAAACATACATTGGATTTATAGGTCAGATTGCCTGAGTCAGGCCTTTAAAAAAAAATACTAAGTTCTTAGGTAAGAGATAAGATTTTATATACAATTGTAAAAATTGGGACTACAGCTTAATAACAGATTTAAGAGATGATGAATGAACAGGGTTGTTTCAGATGAAATCTAGCTCTGCGTAAGGCCAGAAGGGCCACACAGACAAGACAGGAAGTAGAGCTCAGTGAAGGGGAACTTACCAGGAACCTCCAGCTCATGCCTCAGGAACTCAGCTTTGAACTCGCTCATCCACGGTGAACATTCTTGCAGGTTTCCAGGTTCTTTACGGTTTTTGTCCATTTTTGAGAGAAGATTACTTGCAATCGCACCAAAGTTACTGGCCTTCATATCCAACAGTTCTGAACCATCTTTTCCAAAATGATGGTCAAAGTCCTTCTGAAAAGCCTGAGGTTCATTTATAGGGAGGAATCTTGTTAACACAGTGCTAGGAACTCCCCAAGAACACCAAACCAAAACCTTCCTATCTACACACATACCTTCATCTGAGCTCCTAAAATATATCAGTTGTCCTTCCACTCCATTTTTTTCCCCATTATTTCTAGTGTATCAGAATCTTTCCACTGCCTGTTTGGTAGACCCACCAGCTATGATCAACAAAAATATCTACATTTTACCAACTCAGTGATATCAAAGATTTGTAGAATTAGATCATGTGCCTTTTTGCCATGTCAAAAACAGATGTTTATCCCTTTTTACCTCCTCCAGCTACAGTTGGATTCTGGGTGAGCATATCAGTATTTCTGCTCATTAAACTTAATACACGTACCTCATCTGCTTATAAAAATTTAAGATCAGCTACTCTAATATTAATATAAAAAGCAAATATTTAAATTTGTACCTATTAAACAAATACAAATTCTATAATGAATCTAAATATAGGATTATTATCAGAAAATTTAATTGATGTCCCAGTCTTTAGATGTTACCACACTTTCAAGCTGCTGCAACAAAACCCAAAAACTCCTCAACTGTTTGGTTTACAAATGGTTAAAAAAAATACAGATGGAAAAGTTAATTTTTTTACCCCTCAACTATGAATACTCTGTGCTTTACAGAAGGTGTGGGTTTTTGATGGATTTTGGGTTTGGTTTTTTTAATGTCCCTATTTGGTTGGCTTTTTTCGCCAAGCTAGCAGCAACCATACTACATAGGAAGCAGATACAGTCTAGCTAAATTCATACATACCTTTTTTGCTAACCAAAAGATATATTATACGCATATGTAATGCATGTCATAGAGCTTCATATATTAAGAGAATTTTTTTGTGTTATGTTGGAAAATATCAAACGTTTTATTTACTATCAGTTGTTATTTGCTCTGAGATAATTTTGGCTGTAAAATGTATAAAACCATATTTTTAAAATATTTTAAATATTCTGACAACAAAAGTGCAAAGACATTTAAACACAGTATTATCTGCAAGTAGTTATCTGAGTTCACTTCTTGTGTTCATAATCCAAGGTTCTAGAAAAAACAGATGTCCCCTCTTGGACCTCACTGGTATTAATGGCTTAGAAAGATATGTAAGCTTACTTGTTTTTTCAATGCCTGATTGTTTTTCTCCCAGGCTATGAAGGACACAGCTATTTCACTGAAGTAAGTAAAAATACAGAAAATGTTATCCTTCTGAAGAGAAGACTGCTACAGTCAACATCTTTATCACTTTAAGTCTATTTCCAGATGATCACCCAATTGCTTTCTCTGTTCTCTTCTTTGACTTCTTTTAAAATTCAAAGCAGCAAATATTTAATAGCCTTAACACTGTATTTTAATTAATACAATCCATCAACGGTGTTTAATTTATGCATTACTGGAATTTAATGTTAAAAATAAATGCAAGATTCTTATTGTTTAAGTTACAATTGAAATTGTACATAAATAATACATAAAAAGATTACAAGCCTGAAGTACTCCACACATTAGAGCAATTTCATCTGTCAGTCAAGAGATGTAACTTTTTTTTCCCCAGCACAGACACTAGAATCTATATAGTTATCCTCACAGCACACTGTTTCTTCGTGAATACTGCATCACAAAGGCAAAGAATTCAGAGTCTGTGCACCATCACCCTGACCCTCTGTTCCTGCAGCCACTAGTGTGTGAAAGGAATACTGTTCTGCCTCTTCCCTTCAGAGGGGAACAACCCCGCTACCCCTCTTCCACCATCTCTCTCGCTCTTCTTTGGTTAATTCAATAACAATCAAAAATTCATCAGGGCTACCTGCAGTATCCTCTACTACTGCACATGTTTCAGCTTTTTAAAGAATCACGGATTATTTTGTTTAAGTGGGCCAAGCACACACAAATCAACCCAACAACCAAATGCAGGCTGCCTTTGTCCTCATGCCTCCTAGGTCTCTTGCTGCGCTTGTACCCTGTATGGCTCAACTTACAGCTGCTCCCCTCCCTCTACCTCCACTCCAACAGAGGCACATCCTGCAAATTCTTATCCCTGTACTCTTAAGCTCAAAGTCATTAACATCAGAGACCCAGCTTATTTTGCAGTAACATATTGAAAGGGCTAGTATGCTCCTAAATTCCTAATTGCCCTTTCTGCTGCTCTATCACTTCTTCTCCGGACCCTGCCTTACTCGCATCCTCCACCTCCCCACTGATGGGGAAGGAATTTCCCTAGAGACACATGGACAAGTTTATCTAATGTTAATAAAACATAGGAATGGCCATATGACAAAGACCTGGATCCACCTAGCCCTGGCCACATAGGACTATGGACATACAGTACAAGCATGTAGCCATGCTTCTACAGGAACCTCTCCTAGCCTCCAGCAATTTGTAGCTCAGGGATTTCTGGACCCAGAAGTGTGCATTTGTATGTAAAAGCTCTCAAAGCATTTTTTCTCTCCCCATGCTATTGTCCTAGTTGCTATTTGAATGGATGACAGCATCCATTATACCCTGCACCAGGAGTTCTGCACATAAATGTGTATTATGAGGAAACACTTCTCCTCGTTTTGAACTGGCATTTCCACAGAATATTTACCCCAGGCTTGGCACTCCTCATACTGAGAGCCTTATCTGCCCTCATTGTGTCTTTTCCAACTGGAGGAACACAAAAGTTGTTCCTTGTATAGAGGTTACTCTATACCTCAGCTTATTCTTGCGACTCCAAACCTTCTCTAGTTTCACTATACCAATATACATTAACAAGGACTATAGCATTCAAGATGCAAGAGTTAGAGAAGGCTGATATGTCAATCCATGCTTTGTTCTTTATTCTTAATAGTGACAGTCACTTTTGTTTCCTAACTGCTCTTGAGTATTCACAGCTGATGCTTTCACCAAAGTATCACAAATCAAGATTTTATTCACATAATTTAATTTTTTTACACTGACTTCCACTATTTAGATATCAGTCAGTTTTGTAAAGTCCTTTCTGCACTTCTTCATAGTTGTAACTCTTCTGAATAACCTACCCTGCATAACTTAGTATCAGCAGCATAATACAGCAAAACACCCTAAAGTACTTATACATCCTTGGTAGCAGGATGAAAAACAAGGCCAGATTCCTGCGTAGGTACACGGATGGTCAGAGAGGCCCAGGCTCTGAGAACCTGGCAGCGTGCAGCAAAGGGGAGGTAGAAGCTGAGTAAGAGGGAACATTTAGTCCTGAAGAAGGGCAGCCAAAAGTGGTAGCTGAACCATAAGTTGTTCACAGCTTCTAGCAAAGAAATCCTGTACCTGTACTCCTGACTTGATATTTTGTCTCATCAAGTCCTGCAGCACCTGTAAAAGCTGTAATCTGGTCCCCCTCTTTTGACTTTCTAGTGCCTTCTAGAAAAGCACATGATGCCAGCATTATTCAGTAATCACATGTACCTGAATAAACCTTTTCCTCATCAGTCCAAGGCCAGGAGCCTCTAAATTTCCCAAATTCTTGTACATTCCTTCATACATTTCCTTAAGCTTATTTTTATTCCTCTGAGCTTTTACCAACTCATTTCTGACATCTTCAACCCAATCCTGCAAACAGAAGGAAACAGATGAGTTACTGATAAAAGTATACTGACCTTCACTCTTCGGTAATCTGCTCGGATTGCATTTGGGTTACTGTATTTACTAATGATTAATGTGCTTTTTGACAACTAAAAAAAAAAAAAAATCAATCAAAAGGCTATGGAAATATTTCCCTTTCATTGTCTCAATAAAATATTTCTACTTTATTAAGGCACTTATGTTTACTACCATAGTGTCTAGTGCAAGCTAAGAAAGCCTCTACAGCACCAGGAGTGACACAAGAATCCTTTGAACAACGGGGTCTGAATGTAGATGGGGGAAAAGAGAGCAGGGAAAAGGCGTAAGAACACAAATAGTCATAAATTACAGAGATGGCCACAAATTATAATTCTGTAACAGTTTTAGAACAATTAAAGAAGACCGACCGTGGGACAGGGCAGAGACTCTGAAGGAGAAAGCTTAAAAGGTCTAGTGCGAAACAGCAGCTGGCACAAGGGAGGGAGATCATTGTCACTGAAAGCTGCTGACGGCACCCCAACATCATCACCAGTTGGTTCTGGGTTGAACCGCTTCCTGCGGCTGTGGTGTCAACTGAACTGCAGCAGGCTCCACCCAGCATCTTCTTTCCTAAACAGAGGGCGAGGGATGAAGGGGAAGGGGGTGGGGG